AGCTTTCTTCCTTCTCAGCTGCTGGAAATGGGGCCAGCTGCCACCACCACCACCAGCTCTCCCCTGCCCCACCCTCTCCTAGGAACCCCAGGTCTTGCTGACTCCTCAGCATACTCCTTTCTACACAGACTTGGGGGAGGGGGGTAGCAGGAGAGCAGGGCCTGCCCTGCCCACTCCCACTTCATCCCCAGACCAAGTGTCTATGGAGTTTGCAGGTGCAGATACCCAGAGTCCACCAGCCTGGTGCTTCTGGTTCTGCTTTTGGCCTGGGGTGATGGAGTGGGGCGAGGGATGGTGCTCAGCATCGCTGTGGAGATATCAGTGGAACTGGCCCAGGTAGACAGATGGGCAGATGCTTGGACAGACAGATCCGCCGCTGAGACATACTGGGAAAGAAAAGGAAACCCTTTGTCTGAGCTACATCCTGTCTTGGCTCAAGGAGAGTCCACCGGGAACTCAGTTCTCTTTCACCTGCCCCCTGTCAACCCAGCCTCAAGAGGCTCATGAATCCTACCACAAACGTGAGAGCCCAGGCCTGAGGCTGGAGAGCCAGAGAGGAGTGTGACAGCCAGCCCCCTTCTCCATGTCTCCTCACCCTGGCCGTCCACGGAGGGAACCTCACCCCAACCTTCCTCTCCCTCCCTTGTACCCCCAAAGCTGCCTTGCTCACACCTCTACCTTCCACCCTTCCCAACCAATTCCTATTCATTTGACCATGCCCCTGCTCCCTCTCTGAGCCCAGCACCCGCTCACCCAGACTAGCGGCGCCAATAAAGATACCACCCACGGCAGCTGCAGCTTTGGACACAGAGACACCGATGATGATGCTGCCAGCCACCAGGCCAAGGGCCACACAGGCCAGCTGCAGGCAGCGAAAGTCTCTGCCGCTGATGGGGATGTCCATGCAGGTCTACCCAGGGCACCGTCTCCAGCCAGTGGGGCCTGTTTCCGGAAAAGCCCTGGAGGTCTTGGTCTTCTTAGACGTCTCCTTGTTGGAGCTCTGCCTTCAGGGTGGGAATTTCTGGGCAGTAAGAAACTGGCTGGTAATCCTTGGATTTATTTGCAACTCTATCCCACAGCTCTCCTAGGGGCCCCCACCTCACCTTGACCTGGGATCTCTGCCAGGTCACCCAGCTTACTCTTTCTCCCTTAAGGGCCCTTGAGGCTGGGGGCCACTCTTAGGACTCCTGCTTGACCGCATCTTGCTTTGGCTGCCAGAATTCTGGAGAGCTGGGCCTGCCCTGACAGCCGTCTCTTGGGCTCAAACTCAGCCCAAGCTCCCCTGCCCAGGACATCCTGCCTCTGCTCCCTGGAGCCTGCTCAGCTGCCACTTAGCCTCTGCTTATTAAAGTTTAAAGCAGCGAGGGAGGTTGGTCCAGGGGCCAAGTTCCTCTGACATGTAGGCAGCAGGGGGGTGCTGAGTTATTCATGAGATTGCAATGTGAGCTGCTGCCTGGGTCTCAGAGGCCCACTAGGGCAGTCAGCCTAGGTTCCACTACTGGGCCCTGAGCGGGGAGGATGAGCGGCTGGCAACATGCTCAGGGCCCACCTTGCTGTCCCTTTGGCTTGGAGGTGCACCTGGGGCCTTTTCTTGGGGACTTGGAGCCAGAGTGATGGAAGGAGACCTGGAAGAGGCTCAAGAGACAGAAAGTGACTGGGACAGGAAGAGGAGAGGTGTCTCTCCAAGTGCATTCTGTACCCCTGCTCCCCCATCCCAGCAACTTCTGGCTCCCCGACAGGGCTGATGGGTCCTAATTTGAGGCCCCCCTGCGCCTCAGGTAGGCTTGGTATCCACTCTCTAGTTTCCAGTGGGCTGAGAGGGTGAGCCCTTCCAGCCGCCTAGGAACCCTGGCTGGGGGCTGATAGGAAGGAGCAGAGGTGGGGAATACGGTGGAAGGGAAAACACATGGGCTAGGGCTGGGAGAGGAATCAAAACTGGAATCAGAATCAGTGGGGGCTGGGTGTCTGTGACCTGGATCAAGAGACTGGAACATGGATAGCGCCTCCTGATCTCTGGACTGAGCTCCTCTGCCCAGCTTATCTGACCTACTTGCAGGATCCTCCAACTCAAGGCCAGGCAGTGCTCACCCAGCCCAGCCAGCCCAGCCCTGTCACACCCCTCAGTTCCAGCCCTCATCACTAATTGCATTCTCTGGCCCTTTGTGGATTAGGGTCTCCCTGGTCCCAGAATGTGGCCTGCACCTACACACCTGGTCTCAGTCCCCAGGGTCTCGTCACCGGCCCCACCGGCCTCTCTTTGGACTGCCCCCCGCCAATTTCTCCGTACCATATCTACAGTCTGGCACAGCTAGACACACAGAGTCTTTGCTTCCACAGCTGCCCCTCTCCTTCTCCTCTGCTGCCCTCCCACTGAGTGTCTGCTTGGCCCCAACCATGTGGAGAATACCTCCTCATTCTGCAGGACCCTTCTCAGCCAGCCCCAACTTCGTGAAGCCATTTCTGATGGCACCTGAGTGGGTGGGCTGCCTATAATTGCTGCCATGTCCCCATGCCAAAGTGCCCACCACCAGTCCTCATTCTTTCGCTGTCTCCCTTGCAGACTGTGAGCCACCCAAGGGCAGGTTTGGGGAGTGAGCTCCATAGAATGCCATGGCTATAGAGGACCGGGGCTAGGCTTTTGGACACAAAGCAGAGCTCAGGGAAGGCTTGGACCTGCACGACCACCTCAGGTTGGCAAAGAGGAGGCCCATGGGCACCATGGGACCTCTGTCTCTAATGAGAGGCTTTCCTTAGTAGGGGCGGGGCCCTACTAAATGTCACCTGACTGAGCTTCAGCTGAGGGAAGGCACTGCCCAGATGCTGGAGGCCTGAATAGGGACAAGTATGAACTCAAAGGTATGTAGAGAGGAGAGGGGTGCCTGCAGAGCACCTATGGGTCCCCTGGGCTGTATTCCTGGCCACCATAAGAGGAAGCCCCTGGAGGTGGGCATTCCCCAGCCACAGCCACTGCCGCCAGCATTCCCTGTGCCTCTTGCCAGGATGAGGTCTGATTATTCCTCTAATTAGGCATCAAATGACGGCCCATGTCTCTGTCACACATAATTGATCCCCCACTGACTAGTTTTAGAAGGAGCCATCAAAATAATTGTCCATGAAAACATGTTCCTGAGATGTCGAGCTTTGGGAATCTAAACACCCTCCACAAAGCCCCTGCCCCCATTACGTGTGTGCGTAACTCTGGACGTGCACGGCCTGCGCCGGCCGATCTCAGGGCAGCGCTCCTGTACCATCAGCAAGGCTGAGGCTCTCGGGCCATGTCTCCCACCTTGCACTGTGAGACTTGGGCCAGCCGCTCCACCTGCCTAAGCCTCACTTTGCTCATCTTGGGAATGGGGATGGGGATGGCAAAGGCTGAAGTCAGGGAGGCCTGTGCATTGTGAGTTTCAGATTTCAGAAGAACACTCTGACCTCTAAAAACTGGAGACCAAATTAAAAATTAGAGTTTTTCTTTGACATTGTAAACTCCTCAGAGCACGGATCAGAGGAGGAAATATGGAGGAGGAGACACACATTAAGCCATTATTAGCTACAGGATCATAGAACCACAGAACCACATCGACTTCTTTCTAGAACAGAGGAGGAAACAGATGTGGAAGGATTGCCCCAGAGTTCCAGGTAAAATCTCGGTGTCCTGATTCCCTGCTCATCTGGGAAATACTCTAGTATATCTCTGCCCCTGAATTTCTAAACTGTCTCATTTGAAGTAGGAGGAATTGGCAACCCCCACCATCAGAGGGAGACACTGTATTCAAAAGAATCAGTCAAGGCCTGCATCTTTTCCTCATCACAGGAGTGTCATTAAGGGCTATTGGAACTTTTGTGATGCCTGCTCTTCCATTGATTACAAATGTAGAGAGAGAGTCTTGCCAGCTCTTTCCTCTATATAGACTGTATCATGTTTGAAAAAGGAAATATATGCTTGTCCTTGGGTGATGTGCTTACTCTAACAGGTAAATGAGATAAGCCCAAGGCACTAGAGCTAAAGCATCCACCCCTCCTCCCTGAAGCCTGGTTTCTCCAGGCCCCAGACTCAGTGTGGCCAGGCCATGGGTCACTGATGAGTTCCATCACAAAATCTCTCCGTCTCCTGTTTTGGCCAGGACTGGAGGTTGCCTATGAGCTTTTCTTTCCCAGATGCATGAGTCCAAGGGTGGCGTGGAAGTGAAAGGAAGAGTGGGCAAAAGGCCTCAGTTTGGTTTAGTTCTGTTTATTTTCCTTGAGGGGTGAGGACCCTGGAAAAGAGAGTGATTAATTCACCGATCCTCTGGGGGACAGGCAGCTTTCTAGGGCTGTTTGGAAGCTGAAGTCAGGAAGTAGCTTCCAAGGCAACTGCTACCATGGCAACAAGAGTGCCAGCCATGGGGGAACCTTGTTCCTCCATCCCCTCCAGACCTAAGAAGCTGGAGCCGTTGGCACGGGACCCAGTCACTGCTATTCACAGAGCTGGGTCTTGCGAGGGGCAGTCAGGAGGGAGGGAGGAGGGGCCCCAGAGCTCAGGCAGGTGGACACTGGAGGGAGAAAGACTTGATTCCTATGCCCAGGGCCCCTCGATGGGGCTCAGACAGGAGTCCTCAGGTTCTGCTTGAACCAGGATGGGCTGGGCCTGAGGCCCAAGGTCTGGGACATACCAGTCTGGGACCAGCTCTCTTCTAAGGCACAGCTCAAGCGTGAGTCCCAGAGCCCGGAACCTGCTGCCACAGTTCCAGGCCCCAGAGCCTCCCTCAGCATGTCGGCCATGGCTGCCTCTGCCCAGCAGAGCCAGGCACATGGCCTGGTCCTCAGAAAGGGCAAGGGGCTTCCAAGGTTACCTAGTGAACTGTGGCAGAACTAGAACTCAGGGCCCCTGGCCCCCACAGCTGCCCTTCGGGGGAAAGCAGGGACAGAACAGCCTGTCAGAAGGAGGACCCCACAAAGGGCCAGAGGCCAGGCCCATCTAAAAAACCCAAGCTCATCTCCAGCCACACAAGCCAAGGAAAGGGGGAAAGCTCCTCTCCACCACTGGGACCTAGTTAAGTAATTCTGCCCTGGGAGACAATAAAAATAACTACGACTATCATAGCTAAGTTATTGAGCACTTATGTGTATGCCTAAAACTGCTCTAAACACTTTATATTTATTAATTTATGAACTTTCACAATAGCACCATGAGGTCAGCATGCCCAATTTTTGGTTGAAGAAACTGAGACCCTCAGAGATTAAGTAACTTGCCCAAGGCCCAAAGACAGTAAGTAGCAGAGCTGGGATTTGAACTCCGGGCAGCCCAGCTCTGGGTCCCGAGTCTCTCTGGAAAGAATTCCAGTTCTACCTTCCTAGCTGTACAGTCCCTGGCAAGCTATTTTCGCCTTTCTCTGCTTGCTTTTTCATGTGAAGTGGAGTAAATAATAGTACCTAACCTCATAGGACTTCTGCGAGATTTAAATAATGTAATGTTTGTAAGCTTCTCAGAAAGTACCTGTTACTTAGTAAGTGCACACTAATGCTGGCAAAACCAGAGTAGGCATAGTAGCATTTAAGCAGAGCAGTGGAGGATGAGGGGAACCTTGCCAGGTGGACTAGAATGGGGAAGCGGGGAGGTAGAGGGCACAGCCTGAGCAAAGGCACAGAGGCATGAGAGCTGTGTGCAAGACAGGGTGGGAGAGGGGAATGCTTGGTGCAGGAAGCCCCTGGAAGTCACATCCCTGCTGGCTCAAACTGGAGGACTGACCATGCTGGGGCTGCAGTCCACAGACAAAACTCAAACCTTGGTTCTGAGTCCCCAGGGACTGGAAGACTTCGAGCCAAAAGACTTAGATTCTGCAGGCCTGTTTTTCCAGCCCATCCCACTCCAGAATGAAGACGGGATGTGAGGGTGGTAAGGCCTACTGCAAAGGGGAGACTGCCAACAGAAAGTATGCCATTATCAACATGGAGGCCTTGACAGTGCAGGATAGCTGGTAGCTGGGCTCATCATCTGCCCCAGAGTGGAGAGCCCCTAATCCCAGCTCCCTGCTCTGCTCTCCACAGGGTGAAGGGTGCCAGGGCACCCAGTCCACTGCCCTGACACTCAGGCCTCCCTCTTGCTACTTCCTTGGCAACTTAGAAAGGCCCTTCCTGCCTCAGCCCTTTCCAGCCTGTTTCTGAGGATTACATGAGACAACACACATGAAAGCCCCTGCATGATGAACACGAGGGCTGTGGACGTGAGGCACCATTTTTCTTTGTTGCCAGCTCTGGCAGGATAAGCACAGTCCTGGGAACACAATGGATCTTCAAGAAGGGCTTAGTGCTGCTTTAGATAGAGGGGAACTCTGTTCCCACTTGAGTGGGTAGGCTGGGCTGTGTATAGGGCACATCTCTTAAAGCACTTTTTGAAATGGCTTGTGTGATAGTTGCTGACACCCCCTCTTCTACCTGATGAGGAGATCCTAAAATGCAAAGGCCATTCTTACTCATCTCTGGGCCTTGGCACAGAATAGGAGACTGACAAATGTTTGATGAATTTCATTTCCTCTCCTAAAGAAGAAAAGCAATCACATCTCCTTTACCTTGTTTTACGAACCCAGTGAGGTGCTATATTTAGAGGGGCACTTTCTCCCCGCGGGGCTGGGTTTGGTCCCTCTCCAGAAAGTCTGTATTCCTCTCAGGTCTGCAGGAGAAGAAAGGATGATCAGGAAGGCCATGGCTAGAATTTAAAAATTTTATTAAAACAAGTGTAATGTATAATGGCATTGTTGTATAAATATCGGTCTGACATATGCATATCGATTATCTTTAGGTAACTCCGTAGCTTAGCTTATCTGATGCCAGATTTGCCTTCATGCTGTCCGGCAGGCAGCAAGCACCACATCGCTCAGACTAGGGCGGCTGTGCTGCCTTGAACTGGCTCCACATCAGGCACAGAGCTTCTTCTAACTGCCCCAGACCCTCTTCTAACTGCCCCAGACCCTGTGGCCTTCCACACCAGGCCTGAGGGGTGCAGCAGCAGATTCAGTCTCTAAGTTGCTTACTATCATCTTAACAGCTTAAAAACAATTAAAATAATAGGAAACAGCTGATTAAAACCTTTCACATGCATGGACATTCAGGAAAGAAGAGCGAGCCATTGCACGCTCTGGAAAGTCCATGGGCTTGCAGTGGGAGTTTAAACTCCCATCTTTGCTGGAAAAGCATGGTTAAAAAAACAAACATTTTTTAAACGAAATAATACTAACTTTAGCAGCAATCCCAAACAAGGAAGAGGATGATAAATGAGGGACACATTTCGGTCACGGCAAAGAAAGATTATGTGCTTCTCTGTGCAACAGACTGGAAGACTGATCTGGCTTCTCAAATGTGAAACCTCCTGCCCTTCCCTGAATTGAGGGGATGGCTTTGCTCAGCCCAGGGAGAGGACATCTGGAGGACAGAGGAAGGTAGAAGGACCGCCAGAGGGGGGTGACAATGCAGAGCGGGAAGAGCCTCTGTCAACTGACACTTCTCAACACTGGCTCCCTGAAGGCTGGAGCCCCAGCCGCCCGCTGCCTGCCTGCCAGGCTGGCGAGAGCAGGCTGGATCCAGAATCTGCAGGCGGGTGAGCAGGTGGGCAGGAGCCCAGCAAAGAGATGCCCCTGCCTCAGGCTATTATGCAAAGTGACAAGTGATTGCTTTCCTTTTCAAAGATAACCCCTTTGGAAAAGCTTTTTCCTTGAGGACTCTGGGGAAATGGGAAATGGTAGGGTAGGAACCTCAGGGCCCTCCAAGGAAGAAAAGATCTGCCTGGAGCTGCACAGCAAGTCCCTCTGCCTGCTCTGCAGACTTTGGCCTCACAGGTTTCCAATGTCTGGACAAGCCAAGAGTGGGTCAGAGTGCTGTGGGTGTCGGGTATGGTCCCGCATCTCCTCTGCGGCCTGCCTGGGCCAGGGCCCTCCGACGGGCCAGGCGTGACTTGGCGGGAGGGGAAAGCTTCATGGAGCAGAGGCCCTGGGCCAGTGCCTCAGACTCCTCTGCCAGTTCATTCTCCTCATGCTGAGACAGCTCGTTCTCCTCATGCTGAGACAGCTGGCGGTTAAGGGCGATGGCCTCAGC